GTTGTGGAGATGGCTCTCTTGGTGAGATAACAGAGAAAAGCCAATGCAAGAACATGAAACTCCTACAAAAGAAACATAAGAGGGTAACCATCAACATAAATCAGCATCGAATTCTTAAAAAATCGATTATACGAAAAGTATTTAATTATCTTCTTATTCACTAGATTATCATTGCAAAGTCTGACGTTCATGGATGGGGTGCATTCTCACGAGTAAGCAATCATGCTAATATATACTTTTCTTCAATCTCTTGTTTCTTTTTCAAATTATTGGTGCATGCATCTTTTCTCTCTTTGTTTTCAAAATATTAAACTTTATTCCATTAATGAATTAATGATATAATGTAATATGATTGTTAGTACTCTGTTAAAAAAAATGAGTTTCTCGGAGAATATACTGGAGAATTGATCACTCCTGATGAAGCAACTGAACGTGGGAAAGCAAATGATCTCCAGCTTGGTTCTCCCTACCTATTTACCTTAAATGAACAGGTAACTTCAGTCTCCGACCTTCTCTTCTTGATCAGATATTTATCATTCGCGAGTCACAAATTTGTACTCATGATTAAACTAACATTTTTTCAGGTCGTAATCGATGCTCGCCGTATTGGAAACAAGTTTAGATTTCTCAATCACTCATCAAAACCTAACTGCGACTCCAAGGTAGTAATTTTTATCTCAAACATATATTAATCTTAGAAACATTGATTCATTAAACAAAAGCTACTTATATGACAATTTCATCTATAAACTTTATAACTCTCAAACATTTCAAGAAACTTATGGAGTGATCTTTCTTGTTCTAAAATTTCTTGTTATATTTTATGGTAACGTATAAGGGCGTTTATGTTTTTTTTGTGTGTGCAGATGGTGATTGTGAGAGGAGATCATAGGATTGGTATAATTGCGAGTAAAGCTATCGAAGAAGGCGAAGAGCTTTTCTTCGACTATGGTTATGGACCAGGACAAGTGGATTGGTGTGACAGTAATAAACCTAGAACCAATGGTGGTACTAAAAAGTCTAAGAAAATCGGTCCATCTAGTTAGACTTGTATCTGAAGAAAAGAGATACAAGCAGAAGGAGTCGTTTTGAGGGTTATAATTAATTATTAAAATAAATAAATAACGTGATGATATTTTGTGTTACTAAGCCAAAAGCTTTGAAGTATTTCTGTTAGTATTGTTTTTAAGGTTTTGTGTTTGTCTTATGTGCCTTATAACTCTTGAAGTTTTCTTTTGGTATTTCAATGAAAAGAAAAAAAACATGTTTTTTATTATTATAAACATTTGCATACAGCTCTGTGCTAGCTAAAGGAGGTAGTAAGGCTAAGAGTATGTACATTGGTTTGCTCTCAACATGGTGTTCTCACAAGTTT